CCTGGAACCCTGAAACCCTGGAACCCTTGGAACCCTTGGAACCATGGAAACCTTGGAACCCTGAAACCGTGGGACCCTGGTACCCTGGAACCTTGGAACCCTTGAAACCCTAAAACTTCCAAACCCTAAACTCTATGCGCGCTGCGCGCGCTGCGTGCAATAAAGTAAACCCTAAAACTTCCAAACCCTAAACCCTAATGCGCGGTGCGCGCGCTGTGTCCCAGAGAAGTAAACCCTAAAATTTCCAAACCCTAAACCATCGTGTTATGCAACTTCCAAACCCTAAAGTTTAACCCGCGGTGTGCGCGCTGCATGCAATAAAATAAACCTTAAAACTTCCAAACCCTAAACCCTCATGCGTGCTGTGCGCGCTGCGTGCCAGAGATAAACCCTAAAACCTTCAAACCCTAAACACTAATGCGCGCTGCGCGCGCTCTGTGCAATAGAAATAAACCCTAAAATCTTCAAACCTGAAACTCTCGTGTCATAGAGGTAAACCCTAAAATTTCCAAATCCTACACCCTAAACCCTAACGCGCGCTGCGCGCGCTGTGTGCCATAGAAGTACCCCTTAAAATCTCCAAACCCTAAGCCATCGTGTCATGGAGGTTAACCCTAAAACTTCGAAACCCTAAAGTTCAACCCACGCTGTGCACGCTGCATGCAATAAAATAAACTATAAAACTTCCAAACCCTAAACCCTAATGCGCGCTGCGCGCACTGCGTGCCACACACATAACCCTAAAACTTCCAAACTTTAAACCGTAACGCGTACTGCGCGCACAGCCTGCCATAGAGGTAAACGGTTAAACTTTCAAACGCTGCGTGCCATAGAGGCAAAGCCTAAAACTTTCAAACGCTAAACCGTAAAGCAGGCTGCGCGCGCCGCGTGCCATAGAGTGCTCCTCAAAAGTGATTACATGTCATACTTTAGTGGCATCCTCCAAATTCATTAGTCAGCCTTTGTTAATCCAGGGCCCATTTTACCCATGTCATCTTCTTGGTCGTGGCGCCATTTCAGGATCACACTGATGACCTAAGCTTTGGCCTTAACTATTATGCAGGCAAGCGACATCAGCACGCTATGGGATTGGAAGACACAGGGTTTGCCCGTAGACCAGCCAAAAAATCGATTTTCCACACTGAACAATTGGATTTAACACATTTAGAATAGGAGCTCCGCCTGATTCAGATTTTATCACTTAAAAGGTACCCATGCCTGACTAGCCTTCATGACTTAAAGCGTAACCACACCCGACTTAAGGGAACCATGCCTGACTAGCCTTCATAATTAAGAGGTACCCACCCACGCCTGACTTAACAGAACCCATGCCTGACTAGCCTTCATAATTAAAAGGTACCTATGCCCCTGAATTCAGGGAACCATGCCTGACTAGCCTTCACAATTAAAAGGTACCCATTGGAACCATGCCTGACTAGCCTTAATGACTTAAAAGGTAACTACACCTGACTTAATACCTGATTTACTGGTTTTGCCTGATTTTGGAAAAACGCAGGGCCGGAATTTGCAGGGCGCGGGCCGGAATTTGCCGGGCCCGGGCCGGAATTTGCCGGGCTGGGATTTTGGGGTCGTGCCTAAATAATAGGATTTTTGCAAAAATCGTGCATGACTGAAGGGAACCATGCCTGACTAAACATCATACCAATCATCCCAAAAGAATCCAATAATTCCAGCAAGTGATGCCTGACCAATCCGTGCGTCATAATAAACCGTCTGCCCCTCCCCACCCAATAATGAACACACGGAATAGTTTTTTTGTATTTAGTGGGTATTTAGTATGAGGGTGCGAAACTTCCCCCTTGGTTAAAAAAACTAAATTGGAAAACATTTTTTAAATAACATCTAACTAAAATATTGCCAAAATTGGATTCCGAAGCTTCCCCCTGACATTAAATTGAAAACATTCGTTTTAAAAAATAAACTTTATATTTCAAAACCGATTGAATTCCTATTCAAAATCTAGCTCAAATCTTGCCAAATTGGATTTCGAAGCTTCCCCTTATATTAAATTGAAAACCTTACTAATCCCCACCTCCTTTTACTAAACATACCCTAAATACTAAAATATTACATCGATTCCTTTTACTAGGGTCCGCATTAAATTTTGGGAAATTTCAGGCTGGCCAATTTGACTTTTAATTGATATCTTTTCAAAAACAAATTAAATATAAAGGTCCCATTTCAGGATTTCACCACCAAAAAATAAAAACTAGTCAGCCCCGGTGATTTTTTTAACTAGGGTCTTTTAAGGTCGAAAAAATAAGTATTTTATATTACAATATTTATATAATATTGGGGGAAAATTTCGAAATCCACTTTTTGGCATTTCCTGGCAATATTTTTGCTGGATGTCAAAAGGAAATCTAATCGATTTTTGAAATCGAAAAAACATAGTTTTTTTTATTAATGTTTTTAATTTAATTTTAGGGGAAAATTTCGAAATCCAATTTTTAGCAATATCTTAATTATATGTTAAATAGAAAATTAATCGATTTTGAAATATTTTTTTTAAAAATATATTAGGGCTGGTAATTTAATATTAGAGGAAACATTTCGAAATCCGGTTTTTGTTTTTATTTTTATTACTACAATTTAAAAGGAAATCGAATCGATTTCAAAAAAGAAAAAATAATATTTAATATTAGGGTTTTTTAATGTAATATTAGGGGAAAATTTCAAAATCCGATTTTTGATCATATTCTAATTAGATTTCAAAAGGAAATCTAATGAATTTTGATATAGAAAAAATAGTCTTTGATATGAGGGTTTAATATGAGGGGAAAGCTTCGAAATTCAATTTCTGGCAATATCTTAATTTGAATTTACAAGGAAATCTAATCGATTCTGAAATAGAACAAATTTAGTTTTTT